TACGCGAAAATCTTCCTTCGCTTGCCGGTGAGACCACATCATGAATTCCTTCGTACCAACATTCCCTTTGAAAAGGAGAATCGTGTCACAATCCTCCTTCCATTTCTGGTGTCATCAATTCACGAATTCCCTCCGACCAGCTTTTCCTTCGATACGAAAGATCATATAATAATAAAACTTACTGAGCTTACGCCCCTCCAAAGCATTAATCACCCGACAGGTGTATGATCCTTATGACCATATCCAAGAAAACTCAATATTATCTCTAAATGCTGTATTTATACGCCAAAGCTATGAATTTTGATCCCGTATGTAAAGGTATTGATACTTTAACTCAAATGCCAAGCCAGAAGCATGTATATGGGTTTTGTGTGTTTGCTTATTTGACTTTATGTATGCGTAAATGTATGAAATCTTGGTGATAGATTAGAGTAATTATACTCGAAATTAGCAATATAAATGCATAGATTTAAGGTTTTCATGTTTCTACATATTCAGTCGGTGAGTTTTATTGATTCGTCAACATGAATATTTTTGTAAGCATTCTCCCCTGTCCTAGGAAATGACCAGAGCTCGTCATGTTGTCGCATGAAGTTACGGCGATTGCCCTGGTGATGGTGTCAGCAAGAAAGTTCTAGTAAATCCAACCGACAGCTGGCCAAAAGGGATCCACCGTCGTCTTCTGATGAAATAGACCTAGACGAATCACTTTTTCAGACACATTTATATTTTAGGTGAAAGTAAGCTCAGCGATTATAAACTAGAAAAGTCCTCGAAAACCAACTTTTATTTGTATATCATTGTTGTGTTGACTTCCACTCCATGTTAAATCGTTGGATGAAGGGATTCGGAGGTGGATTTCGTCAGAAAGTGACTGTTGACCCCTGTTACTTTACAGTCATTCGATTTTAGGCTCAGTAACCCAACCATGCGTACGAGTAGACATGTTTTCCCTGGGACATTCAACCTCGAAGACCCTGTACTGTTGAGATATTATCGCTAATTTTATACCCGTTAATCAGTTCAACCCTACGTACCTTCGATCTTACACAAACTCAGTCATGCTGGCTCATTAAACCTTGAAGTTTCATGACTGGCGTTAGGCCCTATTGTAACTCCTCTGAAATATGGTCGGTAGTTCTATCTCCTACAAACACAGACACACACAGACA